CAACAGCTACCAGTCGAGTATCCAGATGGCTCCTTATAAGGCTTTATATGGTAGGCAGTGTCGGTCTCCGGTTGGATGGTTTGAGCCGGGAGAGGCTCGGTTGTAGGGTACGGATCTGGTTCAGGAGGCCTTGGACAAGGTCAGGATTATTCAGAATAGGCTTCATACAGCTCAGTTTAGGCAAAAGAGTNGAGTATCTATACGTTGGTGTCAAGCATGCCCGTGAGTCTTGTATTGTAACTGTTATGACTTTGTGGTTTAGTGCGCTTCATATGTAATTATCATCACTGTTCCCTTGCCGGGATGTTTGTTTTGATACTACTTGTTCCCTTGCCGGGACGTTTGTTTGATACTATTGTTTCCCTTGTCGGAAAGTTGTTATATTGCTCTTGTTCCCTTGCCGGGATTTCTTGTGATTATTGTTGGCTTGTAACTGGGAGCGGGAGGTACGCCTATCACAAGATTTGATGAAATGGGAGCGGGTAGTACGCCGACCATGATATTTGATGAAATGGGAGCGGGTGGTACGCCTACCATGAGATTTATTGAAATGGGAGCGGGTGGTACGCCTACCACGAGATATAATGAAATGAGAGCGGGTGGTATGCCTACCACAAGATATAATGAAATAGGATCGGGTTGCACGCCCGCAACAAGATGTGAACCGAAAGTGAAATCTGCCTTTGTTTTCCTTATCCTTGTTAGAAGTTGAATTTTGGTTTCCTTATAATTCTCTTGAGATTCTGTCTTATCTGTTATTCCGCCGAAGCATGTTTCCTCTTCCCAGTTTTAACTGTTTGTTTCAGATTATTTCTCTGTTGCATATATGTATATATCTGCACAGGTTTATCTGGAGTCTGGTCCTAGCCTCGTCACTACCTCGCCGGGGTTAGGCTAGATACTTACTAGCAAATGCGGTCGGTTGTGTTGATGCTACACTCTGCACTTATGTGCAGATACCAGAGCAGCGTTTAGCCAACAGCAGTAGATCAGGAGCCAGTCTTCAGTCCATCGAGACACCGAGGTAGCCTTGCAGTCGTCTGCAGGCCCAACGTCTCCTCTATTCCTTATTATGTTCTGATATCTCTTGTATTTAAGACAGACAGTATTACTTTCTTTCAAACAGTTGTGTGTAGTAATCTTAGTAGTCCGTGAATGTTGTGACACCAGTTTCTGGGTAGAGGCATATATGGAGTTTCTTATTATTTTGGTTCATTTCAAAGTCTTCCGCTTAATCTCATATTCCGCTATTATTTAAATGTTTATCGCTTGTTAATGTATGTTATAAAAAGGATGAAAACAAAAGAGTTAAGATTTCCTAATTTCGTGTCTTGCCTAGCTTCTATGAGTAGGCGCCATCACGACTCCCGGGGGTAGGAAAATCCGGGTCGTGACACATATATTATAAGATAATATAAAGTCGGTTCCGAAAAAATCTTGGCTTTTGAATTGCTGTTATATAAGAATGTTGTTATAAAGAGATCTGACCGTATATACTTAAGGCTGTTAGGTTTAGAATTTTAATAATGATCAATAATCAAGAGACCCTTGACTAATGACATCTCTCTTTGTGCAGATTCGCAATGACATTGAAATGAAAGGAAAGAAAATCCTATGAGGAAATCAGAGGAAGCCAATGACTATGTATTATGGAAAGAGAACCAATCAATTCATGAATCAGTCAGACTTGCTAAAGACCCTCAAACATGCAAGAAAGGAAAGAAAGCAAATAAAAGGGCAATCTACAGAAGCTCTAATCAAGGATAATTGGAGGAACCAAATCTTCAAATTAAGAATGAATCTGGCTATACTTCTTAAGCCTGATTCATGAAACTACCCTTAGGTCTCACTCTTAAAAATTTATGCCTCACAAGGAGACCTCCAATCATTGTTGCTATTTGATCCTTAAGAAAAAGAATCAGAAGAATTATCGAGCAATATAAAAGAAGAAGTAGGAAGGCAAAGAAGATCACGCAACTTTATAACTGTTTTCTAGTTCTTAGTGTAAACAATATTCTTGAGTCTACAAGTATTGCAAAAGATAGGAAGAGTTAGAAAACAAAACAAGAGTTGTGTCAACGCTAGAAAAAAATATCGTTGTTGTATATCGTTGGTGGTGAACGTACTAAAATTATTACTGTTGTAAAAGCTTACTGAAGATCTAAGAGAACTCTTGTGACCCAAGGGAACTGAACGTAAGTAACATATCGATGCCGAACCAATATAAAAATTATTGTGCCTTCTTTACTTTTTATTTGCGCAATTTGTTTCTGCTGCGATTGATTCCTTTGGGAAGTTTAGTCGACTAATTCCTCTCTTAGTCAAAATTCACCCTCCCCTCTTGTACTTTCAAAGGCAGTAGTGTAGTTTCTTCTCCGAATATAGTTTACCAAAAAACTTTAAGAGTCATGTTTGGCCAAAAAAAAATTTTACCTTTTTTCGGAATATTTTCACTTTTTTCGAAATCAATTTTGGCCATAAAATTTTCAATTTTCACTTGAAGATGAAATTTAGAAAGAAAATTTGAAAAATTTCAAAAAATTATTTTTTCAAAATTTTCACTCAGATCACTCACAAAATACAAAAATAACACCAAGTTATATTCATGTCCAAATACAACTCTAATTTTCAAATACAATTGTTGAGTTTTTGGCTAATATTGTCCCTTATCTTTGATGGTAGGTCTATTTTGGTCCCTCAAATATAACTCCGAGCATATTTAGTCCCTTAAGTATGCTAAAGTGGAGCACATTTAGTCTCGATGACAGAATCTGCCCAAGATCAATTACGGGGTTGGTTTCGGCACTCACCGTCTTTTTAATTAAATCATCAAAAATACTTTATAAACCAACACTCACTAATAGTACAGAGCTTATAAATTTAAGATTTTAACGTTGAAACTTTTACTTTTAAAATTTCGGTTGATTGTTCCAAAAAGAAAAGTTAAAATTTGAAAAGATAGAGCTGCCAAGATCACTTCTAGGCATATTATTGAAGCAAACGAATAACCGGATGGTATTATCACTTTTAGCCCGCATCAGAAACTATTTACATCCGGTAGCCGAAAAAAGTACATAAAATTTGTATAATTTTATATATTAACATACAAAATGTGTATATATATATATATACAAAATAATATATTTTTCGACTATTATTTTTACAGCGGCTATACGGCATCATTTTCTCATTGAAAACTGGCACAGAACGGGATATTTTTAAGGTCCAAATTTTAGAAGACATTATCTAAAAATGAGGAATTAAAATGATAATTTGCGTTATCCAATAAAAGGAGAGGAAACATTTTGTTTCAGAGCAGAAGATTTGGTTCATGAATCAGAGTTGGTTAACACCGTTAGTTTTTGAATACATTCTATCAGTGAGACTAAATGTGCTTCACTTTAGCATACTTAAGGGACTAAATATGCTCGGGGTTATATTTGAGGGACCAAAATATACCTACCCTCAAAGATAAAGAACAATATTGATCAAAAACTCTACAATTTTCACTTAAAAAAGATTCAATTTTTTTTTTGGAAACATTTTAGAATTCTTATGTCCAAACGCCCACTAACAAATTTGTTTGTCTTTTTTGATGGACATATTGGATCTACTTAAGTGAAAAAGGCAAAACGCTGTCGTATATAGCTTTGTGGCTCTTGTTTCTTTGCGAGTTCTAATCGTAATCTCAATATGTGGTCGCGAAAAAAGGCAATGCTCTGCCACTTCTACTACCTCTTCAGCTAACCAAATAACAATACTGAGCTTTTTCTATTTTTGTGCTATTTTTCTTCCCAAAAAAATTCCCAAATTGATAAGCTTCTTTTCTGAAGCTTATCAAAAAATATATGCAGTAAAAAATTCATATTCATGGCTTCTTCAATACTAAGTGGAGCTGAAAATTTCAAGATTCATAGTGGTATTTCTCCATCAGAATTACACATCAAGTGTTTTCCTCAAAAGGGTCTTGTAAATTTCTCAAGAATTTCAAATCCCAAATCAAGAACCCTAAGAACAAAATGCAGTGTATCATCTTCAAGACCAGCTTCACAACCAAGATTTATACAACACAAAAAAGAAGCATTTTGGTTTTATAGATTTTTATCTATAGTATATGACCATGTTATAAATCCAGGTCATTGGACTGAAGATATGAGAGATGAAGCACTTGAACCAGCTGAATTAAACAGTAGACAATTACAAGTTGTTGATGTTGGTGGTGGGACTGGATTTACTACACTTGGTATTGTTAAACATGTTGATGCTAAGAATGTTACAATTATTGATCAATCACCTCATCAACTTGCTAAAGCTAGAGAAAAAGAACCTTTAAAAGAATGTAAAATATTGGAAGGAGATGCTGAGGATTTACCTTTTCCTACTGATACTTTTGATAGATATGTTTCTGCTGGAAGGTAATTTCACTAATTTGTTTTTGCTTTTCTCTATCGGAAACAATCTCTCCGCCCTTTCAGAGTAGGGGTAAGACTGCGTACATACTAAGTTCTTCAGACCCCACTTGTGGGAATATACTGAGATGTTGTTTTTGTTTTTGCTTCTTCCTTTTGTGATGTTAAGGAGAAATCAAACTGTAGTTGTAACAGGAGAGGCTTAGCTAGAATTTGAAGTTTATGGATCTGAACTTGCTGTGGAACACATAGCTTGTTTTGGTTATTGGCTTTGAATTAAATATTTGTACGTATTTAATGGATTTTGTAATTCAAATATAGAGTAAGCAAAAGCTACTAGGTTCGGCAAATCCGTACGTAATATAAGAGGAGCAACCAACGTTTGTAGTTTATGGGTTCTGAACTTGCCGCGGAACCCATACCTCGTCTTAGTTATTGGGTCCACAATTAAATATTTATACGTATTTAATGGATCTATCAGTATAAATATAAGGTCAAAGCAAAAGCTATCAGGTTCGGTCGAATCTGTACCTAGTACTCTCAGAGGCGGAGCTCGGATATGAAGTTTATGGATTCGAAATTTGCCTCAAAATTGATAGCTCGTCTTAGTTACTGGGTCCATAATTAAATATTTTATGCATATTTAATAAACTTTCTAGTACAAATACAATATTTAAGCAAAAATGACTAGGTTTGACCGAACCCGCACGGCTACTCTGCTTTTGAGTACTCTAGCCTCTCTCTGGTAACAGCTTCCGGGTTGCAGGCGGTTTAACTCAAAAGGAGTTTGGTGTGAAGCTTGCCTTTACGCAAATTTCATGTTGGAATCGGATGGAAAGTTTAAGAGCGGTATAGGAATGAGTTTATGATTCAATTGTTGAGGCGCCTTTTGGGTTAAATCTCGAGGGGATAAAACCATGAGGCCGAAAAGCCTTGACGTAGCCCGGAAAGGGGCGGCCAAAACGGACAATACCTTGGCAGTTGGGGCTTGGACCATGACAAAAGTGCACACTTTCTGTTTCTGAAATGTCAATTTCTTCGATGATATCCTTGCCTTTCCTCCAAATTGGACTTGTTAGTATACAATACTATGTAATGCTGTTAAACAATTCATCGACTTGAGGAGGAGTTTTTGTTACTCTTTCTCAAATGTTGAAATGCTCTTTAACATTCTATGTGCTTTTAATAGAAGACCATAAGGAAGATTTTGTAGTTCAACTAGCTATGATTCTGCTATGGTTTTTCGGCCATGTGTATTGTTTTCTATGTTTCTGGCTTACAATTTGCATTACTATACTTTAGGTTCTTAACAATTGTGTTATAGTTTCCTTATTTATAAAGTATTCTCTATATTCAATCTTATTGTTAGAAACTGGTTTCAAACTATGATTGTATTTTCCAGCATTGAGTACTGGCCAGATCCACAGCGCGGTATCAAGGAAGCATACCGAGTACTGACCATAGGTGGTGTTGCCTGCTTAATTGGTCCTGTGTACCCGACGTTTTGGCTATCTCGCTTCTTTGCTGATATGTGGATGCTCTTTCCAAAAGAAGAGGAGTATATAGAGTGGTTTAAAAAGGCTGGTTTTGCACAAGTTAAACTCAAGAGGATTGGCCCAAAATGGTATCGTGGTGTCCGTCGCCATGGCTTGATCATGGGTTGTTCTGTGACTGGTGTCAAGCCATATTTCGGGGAATCTCCGTTGAAGGTAAGGACTTCCATTCTTGCTAAATTTGTGCTGTTAATGTACAAGATTAGCTTTTTTATTTTTCGTCCATAGTCAAACTACGTGACATAAATTGTGACACACGTCATACGGTGGACGGTGACACATAAACTTCCTTTTACTCCCTCTATTTTATTCAGTTTATCTGGTGCTGTTTTGTGTTACTATTTCCTTTCCATAGTTTATGCACTATTGTTTTCTTTTCTTCAACAAATGACGTGACTATGCTTCTCCTGAGCCGATGGTGTATCGAAAACAACCTCTCTACCTTCTCAAGGTAGGGGAAAGGCTGCGTACACACTATCCTCTCCAGACCTCACTTGTGAGATTACACTGATTTTTTTTATTGTTGTCCCTCTATTTTATTTTATATGAACCTGTTTGACTGGATGCAGAGTTTTAAAAAAATTGAAGACTTTTGAAACTTGTAGTCTTAAATATGTCATATATTTTTTTTGGGAGCAATTTTTATGTTGGAAATTTATCTTTAAAAATTCACCTTATTCTTCAAGGTTGCTTACATTTTGAACTTCATGAACAATATTTTCTTACACCGCCAACAACAACAACCTAGTAAAATCCCACAAGTGGGATTTCGGAGGGTAGTGTGTACGCAGACCTTACCTCTACCCCGAAGGAGTAAAGAGGTTGTTTTCGATAGACCTTTGGCTCAAGAAGACGAAAAGAGACAATAGATTAGTAACAACAACAGAAGCCAGATAGATAATACCAGCATCGTAAGAATTTTTCTTACACCAACTGTTAATATTTCTCTGGTGTTGTATTGTTTGTGTTGCAGCTCGGTCCGAAGGTTGAGGATGTGAGCAAGCCTGTAAACCCATTCATATTTCTCGTGCGATTCCTCCTTGGCATAACTGCTGCAACTTATTACGTGCTCGTTCCAATATACATGTGGATTAAGGATCAAATCACCCCGAAAGGTCAGCCGATCTGAACAATAAGAAGAACGTCAATCCAAAGAGAAGCTCTCCGCGCATTCCGTTTGAGAGTACGCTAATGACCACGAATCTATCGCGGAACAAGAAAGTTTTTGGCATCGTCACAAGGGTGAATTTGTTGCTTTAGTTTGTTAGTTTTGCAGCCTTAGAAAGGGCCTTTTGTAAAGTTTAATTCCATGGTAAAACCTAGAAAATCATTGTGACTATTTTCTAGTTGTATAATCTATCGGTCATGTTCTTTTATCAAGAGTTGAGAAAACTCTTTGAAATAAATACTAGTAATACATTATTTCCTCTAATATTCAGCAAGATTTTAGTATTTTACTCAGGCATGTTTGACTATGTTTCATAAGGAAAGCAGGAAATGGTCATATGAGTCAAGTCTCCAATAACTTTGATTTTCTTTACAAATTTTCTTACTTTGGTTTAGAAATGAGAAGCATGTTTTATGGAAGGTTTTTGGGGGAGATATTAATAATATTTTATTTAATCATCTGGTATTCAGAGCCGAGGATAGATCGGAAACAACGTCTCTATCTTCTCAATGTAAGGGTAAGGTCTGCATACACGCTACCCTCTCCTGATCCCACTTGTGAGATTACACTAGGTTTATTGTTGTTGTTGTTGTAGCTGCCACGTCGTTCGTTGTTAATGTCGTTGTTGTATTTGGTATTCATAACTCATTGTCCCAATTAGGGGTGGCAAAATGATTAAAAGAAAACAATTAATCACCCATATTATTCACTAAAAATGGGTTGGATAATGAATTTTTTAAAAACGGTTCAAATATGGATAAGAACCATATTATTCATTTAGAAAATGGATAATCAATGGTAATCAATGGATAACCAATGAGTCTAACTTTTACATTTGTAAAGCCTCAAATTGGGGGTTCCTTAAGTTAGGGAGACTAAGAATTCTCCTAGAAGTCATCATATGCAAGAAGTCATGAATAATATGGTTACCCATATTATCCGCCGGTTAACCCGTTTTATACCTGCATTAAATATGGGTCGGATCGAATAATTTATCCATTTTTTATTACCCGTTTTCGACCCGAACCATATCCGACCCGCCCGTTTGCCACTCCTAGTCCTAAGTAATAGCCTGTTTGGCCAAGCTTCTAAAATCAGCTTATTTTGAGAAGTGCTTTTCTACTTTTAAAAATAGTGCTTTTGGTGAGAAGCAGTTTGTGTTTGGCTAATTAATTTGAAAAACACTTTTGAGCAATAATTAGTGTTTGGCCAAGCTTTTGAAAATTACTTCTAAGTGTATTTTTCTCAAAAGTGCTTCTCAGAAAAGTACTTTTAGAGAGAAACTACTTTTTTCTGCTTCTCAAAAACTGCATCTGCTTCTCCTCAAAAGCACTTTTTTTCCTTCTAAAAGTTTGGTCAAACACCTCAATTTTTGGTCAAAAGTGTTTTTGGCTAAAAAAACACTTTTGGCCCAAAAAAAAGCTTGGCCAAACAGGCTATAAGTCAGTTCACGCCGTGCTTGGCTTGTTTAAGGGAAACTATGTATTAGAATTTTTTTCTATTTTCGGAATTCAAACCCGAGATCTCCGGTTGTGGGTGTAAGGTTTCATTCATCACGTCATAACACATTCCTTGATGGTGACATTATAATGTTCTTTTATTGACAACCAAAGAAGTCAAACGACTTTATCCCTTAGGAATTTAATTTGGACATATAATAGCGTGAAATTTGCTGTTGCTTTTCTAACAAGGAGTTGGTATTAAGTTTCAATTGCTAAAAAATGACTTATTTTATAAAATTATTTTCTCTTTTACTTCCTTCCACAACAAAGACCATTGCAAAGACGGTGGGTTTTGTTCGGTTCCTATCTATTGTTAGTGTTAAGGGGAGAATTGAGCCAGCCCTAGTACCAAAGAACTGCGTTGGGCTAACCGATGGTGTACCGATTGTTATGTCAATACCAACGCCGGACGCCTAAGTTGGTATGGAATAACTGTTGCACCGGGCACACATCGTCATATGTCACAACACTAAAAAAAAATATTATGGGTAGTTCGCCGGTGAAATAGGCGACCTTAGCCTATCCATGTCAACTAATTCCCTCAAATATTATCTAAGAATAGGTATTAGTACTCTTTATAATAACACAAAGGTTGGGAGATCCAAGAACTTAAAGAAAATAAGTTGAAGAAATGTGGAAGCAATAAAGAAATGCAATCGAATTAAGAAAAGCAAGAAAAATAAACTAGATATGTTGAAGTTCAAGGAAAGGTCCAAGAACCCCGAGATTATATTAATTTAAACTTTGACAAGATCCTAATGACAACAAGTTGGTTTGAAACCAATTGCCTTCACTAGAGATACACTAATCAAGAACTAGATTCGGATCTTGACTTCTAGTTTGAATAACTTACGACAACAACTAGTAAAAGAAACTAGTCGTCTTCGAAGAGTATCAAAAGAAACCAAAGATATCACAAGAAAGAAAATTATCTTACTACCTTAAGCTATGAACTAGTTAGGGTTGCAAGATAAATCTCAAAGTAAAATTCACAAAGGTTCAAAAGAACTCACAATAATAATATTAATCTTCAATGTTCTCCCGACAATGAAAGACAAGCACCCCTTTATATAGTAGTAAAGAACGAGCTAGTCAAGACTTCAATAAATGAGAAATATATTCCCTAGAAGCATATAAGGCTACCCACACTAAGACCAATGTAGTCAACATATATATAGACCAATGCAAGTCAACATAGATTGAAACAAACTACTAAATATATTATATCGGTAAAGGGCCAAATATATCCCTCTGCTTTCAAATATTGTTTACTTGTACCCTTCGTTATACTATTGGGTTATTCATACCCCTATCGTCATATTTTGGAACAAAATACCCCTATTTTGGATGGAGTGCCACGTGGCAGCACCAGATTAAAATGGTTCATTTCTTTTTTTCTTCCAACCCATTTTACAAAAAACCCACAACCCGAACCATATTTTCATTTTTCATTTTTTTTAAAGAATTTTCTTTTTGTAAAAGTTAAAAAAAATTGCAAAATATTTTCGTTTTTTTAAACTGAGTAGATACTGAAAAGATCTTGCAAAACAAATTGTAAAAGCTAGAAAAAATCGTTTTATTAACAAAATATTTTTTTTTTGTAAAAATTATAAAAACATATTTGTAAAAATTGAAAAAAACTGGAATTTTTTTTCAGTTTTTAACAAAATATTTTCGTTTTTTAAAAACTGAAAAAAAATATTTCCAATAAAATATTTTCGTTTTTGAAAAATATTTTTTTTTCCAGTTTTTTTAAAGATTTTCTTTTTGTAAAAACTGAAAAAACAAATTTGTATAAACTGAATTTTTTTGGTAAAAATAGAAAAAAATATTTTCGTGTTTTAACAAAATATTTTCGTTTTTAAAAAACTGAAAAAATTATTTTCAACAAAATATTTTCGTTTTTGAAAAATATTTTTTTTTCCAGTTTTTTTAAAGATTTTCTTTTTGTAAAAACTGAAAAAACAAATTTGTATAAACTGAATTTTTTTGGTAAAAATAGAAAAAAATATTTTCGTGTTTTAACAAAATATTTTCGTTTTTAAAAAACTGAAAAAATTATTTTCAACAAAATATTTTCGTTTTTGAAAAATATTTTTTTTATTTTTTCAGTTTTTTAAAAGAATTTTATTTTGTAAAAACAAATTTGTAAAAACAGGAAAAATATATATATTTTTTTTAACAAAATATTTTCGTTTTTAAAAACTGAATTTTTTAAAAAAAAAAAACTGGAAAAAAAAGAAAATAGGGGTTGATTTGTGGGTTTTTTTAAAAACGGGTCGGGTAAAAAAAAAGAAATGGGTCGTTTTAATCAGGTGTTGGCACGTGTCACTCCATTCAAAATAGGGGTATTTTTGTTTTAAAGTATGACAGTAGGAGTATAGATAACCCAATCGTATGACGGTAGGGGTATAGATAGTCCAATAGTATAATGAGGGGTACAAGTAAACAATATTTGAAGTAGAGGGGTATATTTAGCCCTTTGTCGTATATATATTCTAGAAACTATTTTTTTGGGTTTATTTGGGCTGCTGAAAGTCCCTCTTTTGGGGTAAAAATGGTGTGTAGTAGCCACTAATTAAGGGTGTCTTTAATTTTTATCCACTAATTATAATGCTCAGCAAAAATAGCCACCACTAATAGAAAAAAGACAATTTTACCGTTTCTTCCTCTCTTTCGCATTGCATTTTCATCTGGAATACCCAAGGTGATTTCATGGTCGGCCTCCTCCATGCTTGGTCAAC